GAGAGCAGCCAGCCCCTCCGCGGACCTGCATCCCCCGCAGCCCAACCTCGGCACCTTCGCGTCACCGCCGGCCTCCCGGTTGTCTTTTAACACCTAAAGGTGACTTTGGTAAAAGCAAGGTTTGCTAAAAGGAAGGAGGGCTGCCCAGCTGCCCCTCTGAGTGCGCAGCCCAGGGAGGACGGTGGCGGGAGGGCATCGCCAGGAGGGACCTTCAGTGTCACACATGGGCTTGAGCCCCGCGGCAAGGGCCGAAGGAAGGAAGGACGGATGCTCACCCCTCACTTTCAACTGGGTGAAACCGCATCAGAAACGCCGAGAACCTCCGAGAACCACGCGCTTGCCCTTGTTCCCCTCCAGCACCCCCCACCTGAGCACCCGGCTGTGACACCGACGGTGACACCCGGCCTGGGAGGAGACAGGGAAGGGGCTCTGGCGCTGCAGAGGACCCTCACCCCCCATCCACCCCCTTCCCTTTCGCTTTTAAGGCTGGATCCTGTATTTACCATCGCTCCTGCCAAGGAGGGGGAAGGCACCCCCAGCTTTTCCCTCCCTACGCATCCTGGTTTCCATTTAAAGCAGCGACTGGAAACCATTTTCTATCCCGCCTATATTTTTTTTTTCCTCAGGAGCATGTGCAACACAATGAGCTTTTCCAGGAGGGTCAAACGGGTTTTGCCTCGCAACTCGCGGAGTTTTCCGCAGTCGTGGGCTGATCTCTGGCAAAGCCAGCCCTGCCCGTCAACAGCACCAAGCCAGCGCGGTCGGGACGCAAGGATGGGGTTTCAGCTGTACCCAAAGCACAGAGGTAAAACCCAGAGTGCACAAATTTATTTACAAAAAAAATTCAAATTACAATATAATACAGGAACTTTTTACACACAGAATATTAGAATGGTTTACTACCAGAAGGTAAAGAAAAATATTTTTTTTGTTTGTTTGTTTTTTTTAATAAACCACCTACTTATTTTCAGCTATCGTTATACAAAGTTGCAGAACATGCACATCTTTACAGGGTTTCTTTCTTTTAATATAATGTTTTGCTAAGTGCAAATACTAAGTTTCTCTCTCCACCTTTAAGGCAAGTAAAGTGGGACACTGCAGTTAACCTTAGGAAGTACCTGTCACGGGATCGGCCTGGGCGCAGCAACCCCCCTGTCGCCTTTTAAAGGACAAATTGTTTCAAGGGCAGCGGGCTGGGAGGGAAGACGGGATGCAGGCGTTAGAGGCCAGCCCATGGATGGCCCTGGCGGTTGTGCAGTAAGTTGTGGGTTTTTTTTTTCCTTTTTTAAATAAATCAACACAGATCCAAGCGCTATCAGAAACCACAACTCGAGGTCTCTCGCGTTAGAGGGGAGGAGCAGCCCCGTGCTTTGGCTGCGGAGTAATTTTGGGTGAAACGGGTGTTTCCTTGGGGAGAGGAGGAGGAGGAGCAGTGCCCAGCATTGGGTGGGGGGGCTCAGCACCGTGCACCTCCCCAGGACAGATGGAGCACCAAGTTCTCTTGCACCCAAGCAAGCTCACAGCTTTGCAAGGGACACGGGGACAGCGGTTCTCTCACCCCCCACCAGGCTCCTCCGGGACCGTGGCCTCAGAAGACACTACGGAGGACAGACCACGGACACCAACTCCCCGCGTCACCTCCGCCCGACGCTTCTCCACATCCCTTTCCCTCCATCCCTGCACCTCCCGCCGCAAAGGCTTAAGCTCTCGCTGCCCACGCGCCTCCGCACGTGCGCCAAAAGGTGGGACCGGACCATCGTTTTGAGCCGGCGCTCCCTGACGCGCAGGGCTGCGCACCGCATTTTGGGACGCGAGTTCGGCTGCCGAGCTTTGCCCCCGCCACCCAACCCACCTGCACTGCCTGACCCCCCGGGTAGGACAACCCTGGAGGACAACTCTGACCCCGCTGCCGGAGAAAGGCTTTGGAAAGCCTGGAGGGCTCATCCAAGCTGCCATTTGAGCCCACAAGTTTGTGGCTATGAAAGCCTCAGGATTCCCTTTGTGTCCCTTCCTGTCTGGGGAAGCCACACGCGCTTCTTCTGACCTGGGTGGATTTTCTTGCCATCTGCTAAGGTCCTTCCCAAATCCATCGGGACACCCTGGATCACGGCTACTGCAGGAATCACTCGGCGCAGGGTAACATTTAAACCTGGCCAAAACCCAGCTGAGCAGAAAGCGATAAGCTCCTGCAGCCTCCAGACTACTTCCAGAAATAAATTAAAAAAAAAACAAGGAAAAAAAAAAACAACCCTCAAAGCAAATGATAGCAGCAAGGGAATACCAGTGGGTTATTAATGCTGGAGAGACCACGGCACTGAGGAGATGGAAAGGAGCAACCCGCAGGGTATGTTCAACCCCTGGGCAATGCCTGAGAGGGGAAAAATTGCTGATTCAGCTCCAAAAAAGTGTGGAAGTCCCCCGTGGGAGACCCTCCTGGGGAAAACAGTCCCCAGATGCTGTCCTGG